CGTCTACTAGTTCGTAACAATATCATCTCCCGCTGTGAAGTGAGACTGGGAATATAATTGGGAAAGTTCTGCTCTGGGGTCGACAACATTTCACGTACGGCCACAGGAGAAAGTCGCAAGTTACAGAACCAAATTCCTTGCCCTGACAGCAGAATACCTCAAGGTGAAACAACTCTTAATAAAATACCGCGAAGGTTTCCCTGAAATACGCACGTACGATAATTTATTTTCTCCTTGTTTCTGTTCGATTCTTCAATTTACAGTTGACTGTTCAGTTCTAAGGCACGTGGATACGATGGTAAATATGAAGTTTAACTTAAATTGTTGAGTCCTGATGCAAAGGAAACAGTTATAGCAAGTTTTTTTTAAAAATAATCAGGTCTGAGGAATGTTGTAAACATTACCACATAACCCTACGAAAATCGTGTTATTCAGAATCACAAAAATTACTAAAGATCACATTCATGTCGTAAAATTGACGAACTGACAAAATATTTATTTAATGTTATGACAAATGTAAAATTACGAAATGTAATTCTTTTCTTATCAGACTCATTCCTGTTACAAGATTCTCACGTCTTACAAATTAAGTCATTAATTTATCAGATTTAAAAGAATATCATTTTTAGGCAGAGAATGTAATTGCATATGGGCTTACGTACTACTAATCTCGGTTGATAATTACTGTTTTAAGTAATTACTGTAGTGAATAAAATTTACAACCAGTCTCCCTTATTATACGACATTTTCGAATATCAAACAGACCTTCGGTCACGTTTAAGTCGGATAATCGAGACTCTGCCACACGTACGCATTCAAAAAACAGTCCTTTAACTGCCATCACATGTATTCATATCTGAAACTTTTTGAACGTTGTTATTGTTTGTCATTTTTAAGTGAAAATATTCGCTGTACATTTCCAGAAAATATAAACCTCGTCACGGATGATAAGAGGAAGGCTTAGCACCTGAGAAGCTTTTTGGCGAGGGGAACGGATAGAACAGACTCCTCGGCTGTGGTGGAAGATATCGGTCTAGAACTACGTCAGGTCAGAGTTATGTCCGGGTGGGAGGTCGATGCATTGGGTCATCCACCGAGCACACGACCCGAACAAAAGAACAATAGAAGACTGCAGCTACGGAAAAGGACGTTGAAATATGGCACGTGGAATACTCAAGGAAGTAAAAATAAAAGCGAGGAAATAATTAAAGAAATATAAATTATAAAATGGATGTAGTAGTTTTATTGGGACCAGAAGAGAAAGATTCGTTCATGGAAGACTTGAGAATTTTATACGTCTGTCTAGTGGTGTATAGAAACTTGAATGAGATAAAAAGAAGGCATGATAAACAGTAAACAGAACAAATGTATATAAATCTGGAAATTAAGATAAGAAAGATTATTGGTGTAGATAAAGTGATACATGGATATAAATTGGCGATTTAAAGACATATTTTCCCAATAACGATAAAAACTTTTCATGAAAGATGAATTCTATAAAAAAACCTCGAATTTATTGGGAAAATGGGTGGAAAGAAATAGTGAATGGCAATGGTGTGGAGAGGGAATGATGGATAGGCTGCACTAATACTACGTGAAGTGATAATAAACGATGAATGAGAAAGACTGGTTCATGCAAACAAGACGACACCTAAACATGGGGCAGTATTCTGAGAGAGGTTTCTAGTATGCCCGATCAGGATGCATATTAACAATAAATCAGGAAATCTACTGATTTCAACGTCAAAAGCAATGAATGACAGATGAGAGGTCGCTAAAAATTAACAAATTTGGTGTCTGTGGAAAAGAAAATGAGAGGTCAAGAAGGAATTGGCAAGAAGGAATAGAAACATCGATGAGAACTGGACATCTGCAAAGTTGAAGAGTGGACGAGCAGGAATTAATGGGATTTGTGGAACCTAAAGGCGACATAAACTGTTGTTAACCTGATATATAGACCTAGATACATAATGTCCGTAAATTATGTGCCATAAATGACAGAGGAGCTTCAGGATAAAGCAAAATGGTCCACCGAACACGGGTCCGGGAAGCTTCTGTAGGGTGGTACAGAGCGTGAACGTTTAGGAGCTACGTTGCAAGTCACTCAGTATGACGTACGAAGCTGTTTTTAAAGCATGTTTAAGCGTTTTCGTCTTATCCCTTTTAAACGAATAAGAAACGCCGATGTTAACACACTTAGTTCAAAGACGGGATTCCAGTCGATTCTAAAATGTCAGAGGTGTGGGCGTTGGTTGAAAACGCGGACATAGACCTTGTGACAGGTTGATACAGGGGAAATACCCTCTATGTAGTAAGGCGACAGGCGGGAAAATGTCTTAATCGTCGAGTACCAAATCCCAAAGCTGACTGCGAAAACAGAAATTGTGCGTCGATATTGGTCATCCACCGAGCGTACGCACGCATTTGTGGAAGGGAATTTATTGGTTGTTGTGTTGGGGGATCCCATTTAAGCACCAGAAGAGAATCTACACGACTGGGAGTCTCTCACACTGTGTCGTATTCAGGCACTTACACCAGCTGATACAAATTCCGTATTTGTCGCCTTCTGTCAATGACTCCTTCGTCAGGGTACCGATTATATCGCCGTCCTAAAATACATCTAGTAACAGATGAGCGCGGCTTCACAAGGGACGGTATTATGAATTTCCACATCTGGCATAATTGGACGGAAGAAAAATCACGTAGGATTAGGCCCGAACACGACCGATACCAATTTGTGATAAAAGTGTGAACCGGAATTAGAAGAGGCAATTTAAATGACTCTTTCATCTCACTAGCAAACCTTGTTTCTAAGCGGTATCTGCGATTTCTCCGCAGATATTTACTTCGGTTTTTAGAAGATGTTTAATTTCGCACAAGACTATGGATCAGGACATTTCACCTTGGCTCTAATACATTATTCCCGACGGTCGAATTGTCGTGGCCACCACGATCACCGGACGTTAGTTGTGGTGTTCAACAAAGAATGCTGTTTACGTCAACA